GGTGTGCCTCGTTCTTTTCTCTTTACTTCTCGCTTATTCATTTTTATTCCTGCGATTTCTTGATCAAACGCTATTCACCCCCCCTCTAGCGTTGGTCTATTATTCTAACAATTGGTATCAGAGCCTAACTCGCGTCCAAACTTAACCGTTTGAGAGTAAAGCGATCATGGGCTCTTCTTCTAGAAATCTCTATGCAGGAATTGGAGAAGGTCAATCAACCTCTAGGCCACCACTCTTTGATGGCACCAACTAATCTTATTGGAAGGAACGGATGAGAATCTATATTCGTTCCACCAACTTCCAATTGTGGTTGGTGATCAAAAATGGCGAAGAAATCCCTATGAAGAAAGTGGGAGAAACCACGGTCCCAAGGACCGAAAACGAATTTGATGCCGAGGACATCAAGAAGATCGAAAACTATGCAAAGGCCATCAACATGCTATATTGCGCGGTCAACCCCGATGACTACCGAAAGATCTCCTGTTGCACAACCGCCAAGGAGATGTGGGACAAGCTTGAAGTGATGTACAAAGGTACCGATCAAGTTCGCGAAGCCAAGATCGACTTCCTCACCCAAGAGTACGAAATGTTCCGGATGAAAGAAGGTGAGAAAATTGATGACATGTTCGACCGGTTCTCAAAGATCATCAACGATCTTCATGCTCTCAAAAAGAGCTACACCAACAAGGATCTTGTGAGGAAAATCTTGCAGAGTCTCACACCCGAATGGAGGTCAAAAGCTGATGCAATCTACGAATCCATCGGAGTCTCCAACGTCACCATCGACGGGCTAAGAGGTAATCTTACCTATGAATCTACTATTCTAACCCTGTCTTTGGATGAACAAAAGAAAAAGGGGATAGCTCTCAAAGCCACCAAGGAACCGGTGGAAGAGGCTTCAAGCGATGACGACAATGAATTCGGGCTCGTCATCAAAAAGTTCCACAAGTTCATGAAGAAGGAATTTGAGCGAAAGGGAAGGAAGCACGACGGTCCTCCCAAATGCTACGGCTGTGGCGAGATTGGCCACATCAAGCCAAGGTGTCCAAAGGCCAAACACGGCAAGGACAAGCCTGGCTTCAAGAAGCAAAGGGCCTACATCTCTTGGGGTGGCGATTCCGGCGACGAATCAACCGACCAAGAGGAGGACGAAGCTGCAAATCTCTGCCTCATGGCACACGAAGATCAAAGCGACGACGTCCAAGAGGTATGTAACATTTCTTCCGACTCTTATACTTTTGAAGAAATGCAAGAAGCACTTCATGAACTCTATGAGGAATTTGTTAGCGCTTCTAAAACAAATAAATCTTTGAAGAAAC